TTAAGGAAAAAATATACGTTATACAGTACATTCTTTATTGTGGACACTTTGTTATACGGGCATGCTCGGCCATATGTCTCCTCTTTTTTGTCGAATATTTAAGTGGAATTATTGTATTACTGGGGTTTTTTTCTAGATTGTTTTGTATAATTTTGCATGAATGAGATATCTAATGAGTGGTTTAATTAATTTGGGGTTTGTTAGAATGTGCTTAGAATTGGTGTTTGTGCCATATCTTGAAATATTTCGCAGCCATAGAGTAATTTAGATTTGATTAGTGATTTATGTAATAGTAGTAATGTTTGTTTGTGCTACCCCATTTACTATGCGATAGGTATAAAATAATGTTGAGATCTGACTTGCATTTTTCTTGTATGAATTGAGTGTGTTTGTTCCACGTTAAGAGCTGGATTTCATTAAACCATATTGCTCCATCGTCGGCAAACTGGGATTTGTTTATGTTTTTACTGAGGTTGTTGAATATATCATGAGATTTGATGGTCTATGGAGTATTATATAGATTTTGTGTTTCAAGATATTGTGTGAGGCGCTTGTTAACCATACCCTCCATGGTTTTGTATATGTTAGATGTTAGAGATATTGGCCGATATGATTAGGCTTTGTTTACGTCTTGGCCTTGTTTGTGTATGGGTATGATAAGGGAATGTTTCCAGGCTTTTGGTATTTGACCGTTTATCCAAGCTGTATTATAAAGTTTTAGTAGTTGGTTTATTAATAGTTTGGGGTGTTTTTAACATGATATAGCTGATATAGACATCGTTTATGTTACTTACCTAGCTTATATAGTTACATATGTATCCGTGAGAAGAAATGTGTCAAATCTGATTCAAATCTAGTTAACTTTTCTCATTTCCACAACAACGGTTGTGTACTGTATCTGTATCATTGAGAAGGAAATGTGACAAATCTAGTTAACTCAAACTCAAACTCTTTTCTCATTTCAACAAAAATAATATTCATGTCTTCTCCCTCGTTAATTAGAGTAGAGCGGATTAGCGCAGTCTTTCTGCTATTCGCAGGTTCATGTTCTCCAAGGCAGTCGACACTCCGGCTGTTATTAGAGCAGAGTTGATCATTGCCACGCTCCACTACTTTTCGACAGTCCGGGTGTGTATTCGATAAAACATTCGACAGTCCGGGTGTGAACCGTCCGCCCTTGCACTCCGACAAAAAGGTTCTATCCAGTCGCCACTGATAATACATTGATGAAGCTAGATCGCACATCCTAGATCATATGTTGAAGACATATATATATATATATATATATATATATATATATATATATATATATATATATATATATATATATATATATATATATATATATCAAACTCTGCATCCCAATATCACACACACACACACACACACACCACACACAATCTAAGTCCATTTAAACAATCTTTCCAACACAAATCCACCCCCTAAATCGGATATTGCGCAAGGTGTAAAATCATCCCCTCACCTGTTCAGATGAAAACAATCATCATATTGGGATGCAGAGTTTCATAACACACTCCACAAACTAAATTCCTTAACTGACCACCTAGGCCTCTATAATTACACCTGTTTGCGGTGTTAATGACCCTATAAACGGATACACATTATGCGGCTAATCCAAGCGTTCCACCCCAGTCGCGGCTCCGTTGGGGGTGGTGCCGCAATAACGGCAGTAAATTATTACAAAGACTCCCATGCTGAGATCGATACTCCCTCCACCCACTAAACGTTTTGTTGCCCTCCTTATGTAATGTTTAACAGAGTTGGAATATGCGCATAAAGTAGCGAAATCTCTTTGAAATTCGGATGTTTCTTTTAACGACTACATTTTACGTCATCGGGTATATCACACCTTAACCATCGTGGTTCCAAATTCACACAGCCATTACAGGTATTTAACAAGAGACAATATATTCCATGATTTATCATGTAAGAAGTATATATTTTTCAAAGTTTAAACCATTTACGAAATATTAATATTTGTTGCTAAATGTTGCCAGTGCATAGAAATCATGAATCTACATAATTGAAAATAATCATTAATATACATAATAGAAAATAATGCAAAATGGATTTACCAGCATCTTATAAACTATCAATTATTTTGGCATAACGTTTATTTACTACACGGGTGTTTATAATGTGTAGAAATTCAAAGATGGTATTCTGTTAGAAAATAATTACCACTTAAAAAACGACTATTAACCAATGGTCTCTCCCCCGATGCCCATGACGTCACACTTCAGCCACTCTCCAGCCAGGGTACAGTCCCTCGACCGACTGTATTTACCCAGGATTGTTCTGTACATGAACCGAATAGCTAACGCCAAAATCCGCCTTCTTTATAAGGGATAAGGAGAAACTGATCTAGGGAACAAAATATCACGACCTCTTAAGTTTTCAATTTGCATAAACATAGTGTATACTTTGCTTGGGTTCTCGTAAAATATCGCATCAGAATATCTCATCAATCTGTTGCTAGAAACAAACCACAGGTGACGTCACATATTTGGCGCCCTATCGCACACCGGGCACTCTACAATATTGCTTTAGGAAAACGTGGAAGCGTAGCAAGCGAAAGGCTGTCGTTTAACTGTCTACGTGCGGATGAGTGTGCCTTTAGCTATAGACGTATTGCAAATGAATATATTTATTTCGTTGTTGTTTAGCTTTAGGGAAACTAGGATGTATTATGTAAGTAGGTGCACGTACCAAAACGCGCAAACGCACATGCCAAACATATACAGACGCACACTGTTAAGGCTTTTGATTTCAGTTATTGGGTTCTGTTTATTTTTAACAGATACAAGGAGATGTTGATTTAAATTTTCTTAATGTATGAGAGAGAGAGAGAGAGAGAGAGAGAGCGAGAGAGAGAGAGCTCTCTTAGGCCGTAATAGGAGAAATCCGCCCTTACACCCCCACAAAAAGGTTCTATCCAGTCTCCACTGACAATATCATGATGAGACTAGATCGCGCAAAGACAATTTGTCGCCATCAATTTTCCCGAGCGCGTAGATGCTGACCACATCTGGATTGAGGTCACTCTGTATGTAATTGTCCTTCATCATGGGTCAAAGCAAGGGCTCCATTTCATTGTATCTTTGACCAACAGACCAGGACAATTCTAAGACAATATCAGGAACCAAAAGTGTCTCGTCAAGTCAAGCGGTGCCATTTGTCAAGGCCATAAACTACAGCATTGACCATGATTCCAAATGAGACCCTTAGTACGTGTTGAGAGTAGTAGTGAGAGAGAGAGAGAGAGAGAGAGAGAGAGAGAGAGAGAGAGAGAGACATTTGGATAGAGAGAAGAGAAGGCAGATGAGAAGGAGAGAAGAGGCAGGGAAAGGACAGGGGTCAGAAAGTATAAGAACGTAAAAGGGTGAGCTATCGTTATAGAAAGCATCGTGCCACCTTTGACAGCAACGAGGAAACTACATTACTTATTTGCTATAACAATCTGATATCCCATCCATTCGTAATCTAGCTGATCACTGAAGGGGGACACTTCTAATATACCGTCTCCTTTATCTCACAACCTCCTTTATCGCAACCTTGCACACTACACTCGTTCCTTTATAAACTAAGTAGAATTCTGTTAAATTAACCTTAAAATGTTTCGAGTGCAATATGAGAATGACAGTCAATTTACAAAGACTGCAATTACCGTCGTTCGAGGCACATGCGTGCAGTAAGTACGGCAAACGATGCTTCCCTCCCAAATCTATAGTCTAGCTCACCTGTGCACTTTTTTAGCTTCGAGGCGTAAATGTGGTGCAATTAAATGTCAATGTACATATCATTAAACGTAGCATCTTTCTGTGGAGGTGGTTGGTTTTTAGCTCTTCTATTCTTCCAGTGTTTTCTAAGGCAAAGACGAATCACTTGACGCCCGCTGGGTGGTATATTTACACTTGGGCTATTGACGTCGTTGTAGATTTCATGTCTATTTCGTTATACTTGTCAATAGCGTCTCGTGCTTCAACATCTTTAAAGGTATCTCTATTGACATTGAACTCCCAAGTTGTTAATGGCACGAGTGTATGAAATGGATGACAAAATCTAAGAACATTCAAATCATGCTAAGTGGAGTAGATATCAACATGTAATGTTATGTCAAAATACGTGCATGGCGCAAAAGTTTGATTGTCGATGAAACCACGACATTTAGGATGAGTTAAAAGGTAATATGTACATTTATCCAAAAACCATCTTTATTTATTCTGCACTCTGTGCGTGTGCGAGCGCGTGCGTGTGCGTGTGCGTGTGCGTGCGTATGTGTAGGGGTGATTGTTATAATTAATTTTGCTCAGAGTTTGCTCCAGTGCTTCTCAAAACGATGCAATAAAACAATGCTTACAGACAATCTATAAAAATATAATTTTTATACAGTTTAGCATCATGAATAATTGTCATTCATATGAACCAGTCTGATAACTTCCACATTGAATACTAAATCTCTGTTCATTATTTAAACCATGCATATCTAGTACACCAAAGAGAAAGATCATACCTTGGCTCTTTGACTTAATGATTTCACATTTGCCCTGGAAAATATAAACGGAACCTTTTTGTTGACCTCACGCAACTTTGTGACGAATATTTATTCAAGTGCTCTAAATTCACTTTCAAATTTAGATTGAGGCTAATGATTTCGACAAACAATATCATAATATGTCAAAGGGTTCATTCTTACAAAGTGCAACATGTCATTTCTGGATAATCCATAAGATCCTACAGCGATACTTGAACTTTCTTCAGATATTAGCGTACTATCTATTCATTTATTCATGATCATAAACACCTTCAAAAGGTACTGAAGCGTTTTATTACTCCATTCATCATGGGAAAAACTAGCGGTAAATTGACAAGAGTTGTTAATTACACTGACATGTCAATCATTACGATGAGTGACAACTAACAGTCCTCGTGCTGATCAATGACCCGTTATACCTTTCATGCTTCGTTTGTCATTGCAGATCCAGCCTGTAATTAGCCGGCGGTTGATGACGTAACTACCCCTCTCCCAAACCACACGGGGAGGCCACCCGCCCGTCCGAAAACAGCGTGACATTACACACCACGCCACGTGCCTATTGTCTAGAAGTACGCGCCATTGATGTCGATTGTCACTTTGGGCGATATATACACACTTGCTTGGATGTTTATTTCGCGTGTAATATATCATTATCAAATATTGCCCTTCGTATAACCTTACGTAAGAGAATTGTACTGTTATTTTGGTCTTCATGATGTAATTTGTTATTGCTAGTGTCTTTGTTAGTTTCTTTGTATATTACATACATATCCACCTTAGTAATTGAACTTAGTGAATTTCTTAAATGATGTAAAAACACATTAGTCAAAATTTTAAAAGCACATAACCTGGAAATTTAGTATCGTTTTACTAATGTATGTTGCTAAATGCATGCTGCTTTGTAGTGTGAGACAATAGGCTTCTATATAACACATACATATTGTTTACAAATAATCCACTGGCTCTTTGTTTACTTTGATTACATGAAGATTATGATACGATCATGAGTTTATCGTTTGAACATTGTTTCAATATCGATAAACTTGTAATTCATAATGCTGAAGAGAAGTAAAAGAACGCCTAATTTTTTTCGTATTAGTATTCTGTCAATGTTAACTAATTATTGTCATATGAAAAGGGTCGGGTGCCTTTTCCTTCTTTGAAAAACACTATTAACATAAGAGATATATTTAGGAATATGCTCCTTGTGGGAAAAAAACACCATTATCAAGTATCTATGGTACCCAGTATATAAAAAATCAGAAACCATATCTGGGTTGAAATAATATTTATCTTCACTAGCAGGGAATAACTTACGTGGAATATTCGATATTAGTGAAATTTTGATTGAATGTATCACATACATGGTGTGCATGTTATCATGAGTGTGGTTCGATGATAACGAAGTGTGCCTGTAGTTATACTTGATTGTAGGCTAATTGAAGAAACTCTCTATAACCGATACAAAAGCTTAGTACAAGTAGAACATATTGCCTAAAGGGATGGGGAAAAATCTAAATAAAATAAACGGATTCTTCACGCAGTAGAAAAAAGAGATTTTGAGAAATCACAGAATCCTATCCAGAACAATCACAGAAAATGGGAGTTTTCAGCGACATGTGTGCCCTAATTGCACTCTGATTTTATACATTGTGCTATTAAGTGTACATTTCATTTAATTTCTGTCACAATTAAATTGTTATCACACACACAACCTGTTGTTCTAAAAACGTATGTAAATGCTAATAACTTTGACTACATGTCGCTTATTTGGCATTGATTGCTTTACTTCCATATTTCATAAGACTCAGTTCAGATTTATGCATGGAAATGTATAACTTATAATGGTTATATTATTATCCGATACGGGATTTTCACTTAAACCAAAATTACTTCAGTAACACATAGTAATAAAACTGCTCATATTAGCATGTCATCTTCATGTATATATTATTAATTCGATATCCAGCAACCTAAAAGAATAACCCATATTTGTCTTACGGTTTATCATATACCAATAGGGTGAGAGAATAGGGTGGAATATATGGATTCCAAACGCTTCGTATGATGCTTGGTGTACCCAGTACAACCACAATCCACTCAACGGATTTCTATGATTTTTATTTAAAAAATATAAACGGAAGTGTACATTTCAAGGACCTGTTCAAATTTAAACAACCGTTAGACAGTTCCAGATTTTGTTTCACAAAGCTCTATGAGACTAGATACGATATTTCGATTTAATGAAAAAATGCATATTTATGTAGCTGGCGGAGACTCTCCTATTTCGCTGCGATGACACAGGTAACAATGTTAATGACGTAAGTGAAGATGCTCGGATGGTGCTTATGAGATGAAGACAATAAATATAAATGACCAAACGTTATATCTGTACGTATCTGTACCGTTACAATTTGAACTATATTTATTGCCGTAAGTTGAGAGTGATGTATATTGCAGTGTGGAGTGAAATTAACAGCAGTGAACTAGATAGACATGACCGTATGTGACGCGATGTTTGACAAGTATAGGCGGAGTGTGAGTCCGGACAGTGTGTTACAATCATCCAATGTACATTGTATTGTATAAAAGTCATATCTGGGGGTTTTGACTGGCAGCCTGTCGTGTATACTGATAATAAATTAAACAGACAAACGTTGATGGCGGACAGTCTGGGATTATTTCAAACTTTATGTGTTAGTAGTTGGGGTAACGGTGGGCTAAGAAAGACATCTATTGTGCCATTTAGCGCCCATTTTACGCTTTATTTCCGTGTGCGGGTGGTATTTTTGGAAGACTTATGTCAAGCTAAATACATCCTATATTCACTTTTTGCAAATGGTCATTTCCACTTAATGACCTGTTTAGATAAGAGAGAATATATTGTTCCGTAAAGAGCGATGTGTTCTCCTATCAATATGTAAATCATTATACAGCTACGGTAAGATTCATCTCGATGGGTGGTCATTTCGAGATGAAAATGTCGTTTTGGTTTAGTAAATAAAAAACATTCTTTGATAATGCTGAATTATATTTGTATCGTTCGAGTTTCAAATACCAATATCATATTCACATATATCCACCATGTACCCTGTATATTGGAATATGTTATAACTTAGTGATGTTTATGCTTTAGATTACACTTTAACGGTATAACGTGCAAACAGTTTCCCGCGCAGACACATCTTGAAGAGAGCCTATTCATTCGTGGTTTCTGCTCAATGGATTCGTTAAATCATAAATTTGATATTATATATAAACATTCAAAACACCTTGAAAACTTGGTACGCTGAAAACATTAGATTTGCAAATAAAGTGTACAACGACATTATAAATTGTATCCAAATTTTCATTTTTAGAAATACGTATATCAAGGCGACAAAACTGGTTCCATTATCATACGATTTGTCTGCTGAAGTCAGTGACCAAAACCAGAAATTCCGACAAGTCATCAATTCCCACTATAACACTCCAGGTGTTTCAAAATCACTGTCAAATTGTGATGATGTTCGACAAAGTGAAGGTTTCCTGTCCCATGAGTGGTACATGTCACAAACACATGCAAAGTCAAGTAAATCGTTCACCCTAAAAATACATGGAATCATATGATACAAGTCAAAATGAGGAATAATGTCACTGATGCTTTACGGATGGGCATGTTCTCCTCATGTCATGTTCTCCTCATGTCATGTTCTCCTCATGTCTGTGGTAAAACCTTGTTGAAAGCTGTACTAATCCCTTGAATGTAGTAACCCCAGCCAAACAACATTTTGTATTTACACACTTAACATAAAAAGCACAGTTATGGTAGGATCTGTGAATGTAACATACATTATGTTTTCATAAAGGCATACCCCAATAAACATTTATTCAAACCTGTTAACCCCACTTTAGATTTTAAACCTTGTCATGCAAAGGAAATCGGAGCTAACCCAATGAACCAATTTTCACCTCCACAGTCTCACAAAGTGTAATATCCGAGACTCATTGAAGTTAAAACTATAACTCATGCGTATGTTGGAATGTAAGTTAAAAGAAGTTTTATATCAACAAAACATTGTAACATATGTCATTTTAAATGATTACTAAAGTGACTCTGTTTACCCTGTGGCGTGTGTTCATCGTTATTCATCAAGGTTCATAATAGCAGCACAGGGTACATACAAATATATTGATGTGTATTTTTTCTGAACCCCCCTGTCAATAGGAAGCAGTATAAATGAATATAACGAGGTTTATCAGTTCCATGCCGGCTCAACTGTCACCAAATTCTACCCTATCTTTATCCAATCTATGGCTGTCGTGTTGGGGCGAGCTGAGATATTGTTAGGAGCTGTTCATATAGGCACGGCTTATCGGTTAAATCTATGAATATATTCTGTTTGGTTAGACATGTTTCAGAAATTATTTGTTTAAATAAATGATTATGTGCGATCAATATACAGTTTAATTCAAGTTTTGATACATCTGGAGTGTATGCTCGTGAACATATCTATTAGACCATGAAGATAAATGAATCATTCAAAAGTCACTTCCACGACAAGTTGTGATTAGGTTCAAATGGCCTCGCAGGTAAATAATGAACAGATTGCGCATCGTGACTCAGATTCTATAGGTACAGGCTTGTTAAATACAATGATTACATCAAAGATGCGCACACACACACTCTGAAACATACGCACGAAAATGTATCTATAGGTATCTGCGCATATATAAACAACGATAATTAATGTAAAATTTAAAAGAAAATTCTGAATAAAAACATTTTCTTTCACAGATGTTGATGAAAGTGACAATATTTGGTATACATATAAATGCATAGATGTAGGTATATTACAGTATAGATATATGGTTACAGATATATAGGATCCTTATTTTCCATCTTAAAAACAAACAGTAGGGACGAATTGTTACCTATGTACATAAACAACTGGAATTACCATTCTGTAAATTCATTCTCGTGTGATTTTTACTACCCAACTTTAGCACACAAATAGGCATCATAGCCTATTCAGACATTTTTCTCATATCATTATACACTATCGTAAATAACACTTGTGTACATAACCGGTCAACCAAGCGTAATGCACGGCAAGACTATGGGGAGCTACATAGTGCTGTATTGTATCGGGAATCGCTCAGTCCTCACCCAACCGAAACGTCATCCTCCCCAGACATTTAGTGGTAAGTTAGTTTCAGCCCTCATATTCTATTAGGGTTGAAGACAGATAGATAGGGCTCCCGTGGCTAGGGGAGTCGAGTTGCAAAATAACCTTTATACTTCGTCAACAATGAAAAGCGCCATTGCCTGAATGAAATAACATTTGGAGCGAGCTTTTGGAGAGGTATTTTGTTAAGTTTTCTATGCGACCGTCCTCGCAATATCGAACCCCCAATGAGACATATTTTAAGGCTTCAGAAGCGAAGTGTGATACAATTTATCCCGATACAGTTAATTTTTAGACAACCCCTTGTCGACGGCGGGTCATTTAGACATACCTCCTTCCAGGGATACAAAACATGAGGATCTTTTGAGCCATTGGTATGACAAATTTGACACTGGTTGATCCTGTGTGATTTGAAGCTGTTTGTTGGTTTATTGCTTGAAATAAGGGGGAGGATTATGACGATGAATATATTCCTATTGTTCTAAAACAAATCTAATTACAAAGTATTAACGATTTAGTAGACACCTTTGATGAAAGAGAACATGCTTTTAAATGCTTTGGTTTCGTCACCCCACTTCATATCAACGAGACTGTGAGATGTAAGTGCATTTTTTTCATAACATGTATACTCTCTCCTTATAAGACACTTCATTGTACGGGGTGTGACTGATGTTTAAGGTTATATCAATAGCGGTATTAATTCCAAGAGGATAGACATGAGAACATGGCCATACATTATGCGATTGTCCACTCGAGTGGTCAGGTGTCCATTTAGCGGGTGTAAAACCTCTTATTACAAACAGGCGTTCATCCACTTTTAGTGACCGCGACTTTGCCCTGGTCTATTGAAATTGTATCTCTCAAAACAAAATGTACAATACTTGCCACGCACGAGTGTCCACTCACGTGAGAATAGGCGAGAGGTCTCCCGATAGATTTCCCTCCCCTTTGACTGTGAGTTGACGAGCTAGCCGACGAAGGAACGTTTCGCAGACTTCATCTTGTATTGAGAAAGACTGGCTATTTTAACATATATTCAACAATCGGTTCGTGCGAGGCACGCAAAAACTAAGACATGATTGCTAATATTTATTTTGTTTACCGCGAAATACCGTTGTTATTCATCCCAACGACGTATGTGTCTAAGAGACCATGTCCACGGGCTGCGAGTGACAAATCTAATTAATCCACGATCTAAACATTCACCGCCCACTTTTTCAAAGCTAACGCCTCGGCTGATCTCCGAACCACGCCCACAAACAATCGCGTCTCAGGCATAAACCTGTATTAAAACTCTCCCGATTCTGGCAAACCTTTCCAACTCCAAACTGACACACATTGTTCGTTTGTTTTGCAGTGCAGCTCAGCAAACAAAACCTAGAAGTAGCGTAAGGCTTGTATTAATGCTGCGGATTTCGGTTGATCGAGGCCGAATGTATTGTCAGCGGAGCGGTGTTTGTCAATGCTAGCGACCAATGAGATGCCACGAGAAATTAACATGATAATTCACTCGACCGTAATGCCTGTCACTCATCCGCACGGCGTCAGCCAATGAGCGCAGAGGACATCCGTCATCGCAAATGATGTCTGGCGCTAAACTATCGCTGTTCACCATACATGAATAACCGACAGCGTGGTAGGCCGGAGTTCTCCTCAGTGATCAGCCTTATGTAGTTTTATTAGTGATAGTGAGTATGGCCGCTACTAGCACTGGACTTTATCTGTCTACAAGTGTTCCGTCTTTGGGAAACCAGAGTGTCGGAAACCATACCATGAGGGACTTGAGGGAAATGCAAGGGCAAGTCCCAGTCAGCCAACCTACCCAATATTCGCCGAGAGATTTATCCGAGATGAAGTATATGCCACCCCAACATCAAAACGGACACCCCTTAAACCATCACCACAACCCCTGGGCGCTGGACCAGGGCTGGCATACGATGGGTGTGATGCATACCCAGGATATAAAACCTTCTCACGGCAACGGCCTCGTGGACGGGCACACCAGCACCTTACATCACCGTCCACCACAGCAAATGCATCCAGCTCACTCCTGGCACTCGCCCGTGTCCCCACCCCATCTCCAGCTTCAGAACGGGTCCCCCCAGCTTCAGCACCCGGCGTATATGGGGATGAACGGCATGGGGATGAACCAGATGCACCCGGGGAGTCTACATGACCCGATGCACGATCATCTCCACGACCCGGAGCCCGAACTGGATCACCAAACCCAATCGGACGAGGACACTCCTACCTCGGACGACTTGGAGGCATTCGCCAAGCAGTTCAAGCAGCGGAGGATAAAGTTAGGCTTTACACAGGCCGATGTTGGACTTGCTCTGGGGACACTTTACGGTAATGTTTTTAGTCAAACCACAATTTGCCGTTTTGAGGCATTGCAGCTAAGTTTTAAAAACATGTGCAAACTTAAACCTTTGTTGCAAAAATGGTTAGAAGAGGCGGATTCCACTACCGGGTCCCCAACTAGTATCGACAAAATTGCTGCTCAGGGTCGCAAGAGGAAAAAGAGGACAAGTATTGAGGTCACTGTGAAGGGGGCACTAGAAAACCATTTTCTAAAACAACCTAAACCCTCCGCAGCGGAGATAACCCAGCTAGCAGATCAGCTGCAACTTGAGAAAGAAGTGGTACGAGTATGGTTTTGTAATCGGCGGCAGAAGGAAAAACGTATGACACCCCCCGGACCTCTTGGTCCTAACGGTGAG